ATAAACCTGGAAATTTGATTTACGGAGAATGCGTACATACAGTGCAAACTGCAAATTACTCTCATTTTCAATCAAGTAATTTATTTTGTTGGTATCAACTTTATTGCTTAAACCTAAACAAAAAGGATTACAAACATCATATTCTTTCTCAGTTAACGTTTTTATAGAATAAGGCTAATGAACGAGCACACAGCCCATCTGATGGTAAGTGGATGGTGAGGCACATAAACATCTTCATCTTTAATATTTTTAAGCTGCTACTAACGCTGGTGCTGTGTGAGAGCGTGTTGCTTCCTCGGTTGAGCCGACCCATTTGTGCTGTATTAGCTAAATCATCAATAAATAAAAATCGTGTTTCTACCACTAATAATCTATTTAAACTCTGGGTATTATACTCCATGGTGATCACATTCTTTAGCTCTGTTGTCTGATGGTCTGCGGAACCGACGTAGACGTTCAGTCTTTTATCACTTTTTCTACCATTTTCGAGACCGCTAAACAACAATAAGTAACAATACTTTAATATGTCAAGGAAATCAGACAATTCAATATAAAATTAACTAAACTTTATTAGAGTCGATATTATCTTTCGGGAGTGGGCGCCACAAAATGTAGGGTGTGTTCCGATATACACTGTGACCACTGTGAGGTGTGGCGTCAATTCTGTATACTGTACGAGTATGTAAAGCCGTCCCTTTTTGCTATACTGGTTAATAACTGAACGTAGTTCAGTATACTGTCATCCACATTTTTCGACACTGTCTTCAAATGAAAATATTTATCATGTACCTGAATATTGTTCAACGAGAACAAAAATATTATTTGAATGTTGTTGCTTTTACGACGACGGAACGAATTTTTTTACTCGACCTTAGTAGAAAGTTGTCTTTTTTAAAAACTAGCCTTAGGCAAAAATTTGAATTTGAAGCGTACTTTTTTTAAACACCGCGGCACTTTTATAACCGACCATGTTCAAATGACTGAAACCTTTTTCGTATTGTATTTTTTCAGGAAAGAAAATCAAAACTGCCCTTTTTTTTTGCAAACGAGTAGTTAAAGATTTACCCACACTTAATATAGGCAGTCGAGTTAGCGCAAAGTAAAATGGTATCATTCAAATTACTGTTTGGTGTTTTCCGTTATTAGTCGGTTGGTTTAGCAGAGCCTGGTCCGTTTCAGGGTGTGCAGATGGTGCAGGTAAATGCAGCATGGAGATGAATTTGGCATTTGGAGTAATTTTTTTTCTAGAATGAAACAATATTATTTTCACACGAATAAATTTTATTTTTTAAATGTTATACGAGTAATGTACAGCACATTTTTACACTTTAGTATTTTCTCATATGTAATTTGTTTTTCTTATTGTATTTTATTAAACAAGTGTTCTTTAGTTTCGCTGTACTGGACAAAGGTATGCGTAGTTTGTTTCTTCTTGTTTTGGAATACAATGGGCTGCGTGGAGCGTGGAGTAGTCCACAAAACCGTTCCTATTTAATACTAATAGTGCTTTGTAGTGCTAGGTATAATTAAATATAAAAAATATATTTTACGGCTTAAGCCTTATTAAATAATTTAGCTACGTACCAAATAAGTGTTACCAGCCATACAATGTTTTAATCGTCTGCAATAAACGCGAAGGCCATTGATGATGATTTATGTAGTATTTTTATACGTGGTAGAGCCATGCTGCAGTTATATTAGATGTATAGTTGTAGCACGAATGGGTCGGCTCGACCGGGGAAGGACCACGCTCTCACAGAATACCAGCGTGAAATAGTAGCTTAATGCTGCTGTATTTCGTATGGTGAGTGTAGAGAACCGGCGACCCATTTTACTGGAAACGAGGCATTCCATCTTAGTCCTCACGGGTGACAACACATCTGCATTTTGATTCGTAATCGAGGATAGATGTAGATGTCTATGGGCCACAGCAACCACTTACCATCAGGTGGACTGTGTGCTCGATTGTCACCCTATCCTATAAAAAAATGTAGGCAGTTTTTTGTTAATAGGATCTTTGTTCTCATATAGAACATCTTTTATCAAGAAAATTCATATTTTATCAACGAATTTTTAGAGATTTACATAGTAGAAGATAACGTAAACGTGCATTTCTACGCACTAGTATTTTTTTCCGTACGATTGATATCAATCATGAGAAATAAAAAAAATAGTATAGTTAGCTCAATATTAAGGCCTTTTTTAGGTTTGAGTTGTATGGAAAAGCTTTACCTATAATTGGCCTTATGCGGGTGTATTCTAATCACGGCAGCCACATAGCGTGTCCGCGTCCTTGACTGCGTCAGAACATGGAGTTTATCTTGATTCTCGCTCGCTTAGAAGACGGTTCATTTATGTGCTGGCCGTCGCCCGCGTGCCCGCGGTCGCCCATCTACATACCACGGTCGCGCACGCGCTCTATGTTTACTTTACTTCACACTCCGACGTCCGCTCTTCGACTGCACTTGTGTTTCTACAAATAAAATTAAAGGTTGTGATGATGTGGTTAAGTGTAATTTTTGTAATCCTAGTGCTTTTGTTGCTTGTTTTACTAACAATATTTCACTACACGAGCGATGGAAGAAAATACTGGCTCCACAGAAAAGTTCCTTACAGAGAGCCGTGCCCGATTTTTGGTAACTTTGGTGCAACACTGACAATGAGGCGAAGTTATACAAATATGCTTCAGTTCTTTTATGATTCGTTTCGGGATGAGAAATATGTAGGTATTTTTCAAGCGAGGAGACCAACTTTGTTGGTAATCGATTTGGACATCGTTAAGAATATATTCATAAAAGACTTTGCTTGCTTTAGCGATCGAATATCAGTGTCAACTGACACACGCAGGGAGCCTTTACTCCGAAACCTGGCAAATATGAGTGGAGCTGAGTGGAAAGCCATGAGACACATAGTAACACGGACTTTTTCTTCAGCTAAAATGAAAGCAATGTTTTGTCTCATTGCAGACTGTGCAAATGCCCTGAAAATAGCCCTTTATCAGGAATCACTAGAAGAGGTCGATGTCCCGAAATTAATGTCTCGATTTACTACAGATGTTATTGGTAGTTGTGCTTTTGGTGTAGATCCTGGGTCTTTAAAAAACCCTGATTCACCTTTTTTGGCAATGTCGCAGAAAATGTTTAAAACTGATCGGACAACGGTATTAAAACGATACTGTCGGACTTTTTTCCCGAGGCTTTTTAAATTTTTGAATCTCCGAACTTATTCTTGGGAAGTGGAAACATTTTTTACCAATATAATCAATCAAGTTATCGAAGAGAGACGAACTAAAACAGTACAAAGAAACGACTTCATTCAACTAATGTTGAATGTGCAGAAAAGTGAGACCGACTTTCCTATGACTGACGAATTAATAACTTCTAATTCTTTTATATTTATGCTAGCTGGCTTGGAGACGTCAGCGACTACATTATCTTTTTGCTTGTACGAGTTGGCCAAAGACCCAGATTTACAAACTAAAGTAAGGCAGGAAGTATTGGATTGTATGGAACGGCACGGTGGATTAAACTACGACGCAGTGTGTGCAATGCGTTTGGTGGTTCAAACAACTTTGGAGACATTACGGCTCCACCCCCCCACTCCCCTTACAACCCGTCTATGCACTTTGCCTTGCACTTTATCAACCACTGATCTAAAAGTGAAAGTAAAAGATGCAGTACTAATACCATTGCATTGTATACAAAAAGATCCGAAGTACTTTGCAAATCCCGATAAATTCGATCCAGATCGTTTTAAAGACGAGTCTAATCCACCAGGATTTTTGGCTTTCGGAGAAGGACCGAGGAGTTGTCCAGGTACGTCATATTTTGAAAAATTTTCTCAATAGTAATCTCTATAAGCTTTTTATGAAGTGATTAAGCCGTGATTTTTATCTGTGCCCAATAATTTAGGATAATATTATTTAATTACAGCAAGCTATTGCCAACACAACATTGACTATTCCCATAAATAATGTAGTGTCTAATCATACAATCTTGGTAATCAAATAGCTTTGAGGTCTAAGCACTCGCTGTAGATTTCACATCGATAGGAAATTTGCATGTTTGGGAAATAAAATATATTGAGAACATGTGAAGCTCGCCAACACAGTGGAGCAACGCAACGGACTAATTGATTGCCCTATAACTCCCAGAAATTAAAGCAAGCCTGTGCCCTGCGGTTGGGCAATACAGGCTGTAACTTTATACAACTACTGATTGTTTGCAATTGAATTGAAATTTTGAATGCACATAAATATACTCATTCAAAGACAAAGCATAATTACATGTTATTAAAACAATACGTAAGCGACGTGTCGTAAGTTTTTATTTCGAAAGATTATAAGGCAGTAACAATTGCCACATATATATATATATATATATATATATATATATATATATATATATAAATATATATATATATAATGACTAGTTATTTTTATAGAATAGGGGTGTCAAGCGAGCAAACAGCCCACCTGATGGTAAGTGGGTACTATGGCCCATAGACATCTACATTTATATGTACATATATCCCCGATTAAAAGTCGAAATGCAGATGCGTTGTCACCCCTGAGGACTAAGATAGAATGCCTCGTATCCAGTAAAAAGGGTCTCCATACGTAACAGCAGCATTGGGCTGCTATTTTAAGCTGGTATTCTGTGAGAACGTGGTCCTACCCCGGTCGAGGCGACCGATTCGAACTACAACCATAATATAGCTGCGACATATCTATCACGTAGCACCATTTAGTTATGTTTAGTATCGAATTTTTATGTTAAACCATGTATATATTATACAATATTAGTCTGATAATATTTAAACTATGATAATTTTCTGAATGATATTGAAAAATATTGAATTATATTTTATCAGATGTTTTATTAATTTATTTGCCGAAGGAATAATCAGGTTCTTCAGTGTTAGAGTAGACGCACACATTGAATTATATTTTATCAGATGTTTTATTAATTTATATGCCGAAGGAATAATCAGGTTCTTCAGTGTTAGAGTTATGGACGCCACACACGGTCAGTTCAACTGATCAGTTCAAACTAAAAAAACTGTTGATATTTTTTAAGATATTGAATTTTCGATATATGTATTGATAATTATGTATAAATATATCAATATCGGAGTTTTATATATAAGTTTATTTATCGATATGTCGATAATGCAATATTTAAAAAAATATCAACAGTTTTAATTTGAACTGATCAGCTGGAATGATCACTTGAACTGACCGTGTGTGGCGACCATTACGAGGACCTACACAGTTGCAAAGAGGGATAATTCCCTGCATAGATTCTAACCTGCCATACTATATGCTTTGATTTCGATTTGATCGCCATGTATTTAACTTATGGAGTTCTTTATATTTTATCATTACAGCATCTGTACGTAGTACATAGTTTTTTTTTGCGCTGGCATTAACAATATAAGTTAATGCATATATCATGTAAAAGGATTAACAATAACATTGTATGTACTGTTTAGGTGCACGTTTCGCGCAGTTGACTGTGGCAGCGGGTCTAGCTACTGTGCTCAGTGGATATTTAGTAGAGCCGTGTTCTAAATCCACGCCACGCATTCAGTATGATCCACGAAGTGTTATGCTTAAAAACAAAGGTGGGATTTGGTTAAAATTTAAAGCATTGTAACCAAAATAAAGAGTAAAGAAGCGAATTCTTCGGAATCTGGGCGATCGTGATGGAATAGCTTTCTCCGTATGGAGTAATTGTCATTTCTCAACTAACTGTACGGAATTCATATCTTCTAAGACTGCAAGAATGTGAATTACGTTGAAGAATAATGCGAATAACTGTGTATGTGAGTTTAATGATATTCTGAACCCAAGATTCGTTTGAAATATAAAATATTAATATTATGTTTTGTAACTCTTATGCACTATGTTTATTAATAACCTACATCCGGTTCTTTTATAACCGAGCACTTTGAGATAAGATTACAAACAACATTAAAATGAATCTAGTTATAATTTTTACTTCTTTTCTATGTTTTGTTACTTGATGTGTGTCTGTAGTCATCAGTATTATATAATTATCTATTATTATTCGAAGGCGAAGAGACACATTATAACTAGTCGTATTTGGTTTTTTTTTACTATTGTAATAAATTTTGTTTATTTTGAAGTATCTTTTTAAACAGTGGTTACATTTCTGTAAAATGTAAAATCCATAAGAATATGACATTGTTTTTTTTTTAAATAAAAGTGTTTCTGTATTGTATGTGTACACTACGACGTGTTGTTATTATTTTTGATAATAATAAACTTAACAAAAAATCATTTTTATATAGCTTATTATCTGCTTGTCCAAATGTTTCCTTTTGAGCTTAAATTACATTAAATGTAAATCACTGGTACATTACAAATTTTTAAAATGATCAAGCGCCCGATTTACGTGGTCACTGGCCACCATATGCCGTGTCATATAAACATTGTAACTAAATACCAGAGTTAATTGAAACTAAAAACCAGTTCTTAATTGTTAGCATACATGATTGTAAGCTGATAGTTTTTTTAAAGTCTCGCTGGGTTTCTTGCTGGCTCTTCCCAGGATAGAGGTATTTTTTCGGAACCAGTGATATGTATATTAAAAAAGTGACTTCAATAAGTATTATTTATAATCAGCATCAATAAAGCGTCAAATAGTAGCTTAATGCTGCTGTGTTTCGTATGGTGAGTGTAGAGAACCGGAGACCCTTTTTACTGGAAACGAGGCATTCTACCTAAGTCCTCACGGGTGACAACGTATCTGCATTTTGTTTCGTAATCGAGGACAGATGTAGATGTCTCTGGGCCACAACAACCACTTACCATCAGGTGGACTGTGTGCTCGTTTGTCACCCTATTCTATAAAAAAAAATCAAAATAAAAAAGTCTGTTTCTGACTCCAGTCCCTAAACTAGACATAAATCCTAATCGGTAAAGTTTAAGCTTATTAAAAGAATTACCTAGAAGATAAAACACGTTTTGGGAATGGCTTATAATTTAATCGTGTGAAAGGTGATGCTAAAAATAACTAAATAACTGTTTAACCAAACTAACTGATACCTCTGTTTTTGTTGACTGCCTTATAAATTTTAAAATATTCCGATTATATTAACTTAGCAGTTTTAAGTTTGGGATTGACTTTGAGATTTAAATTTGATATAAAACTAGCGTTCCGACTCGGCTTCGCACGGATGATTTCTAGATAACAGCGACGCCTACCAGGTCCAATTGTGAATCTAAACCATTCTCGAATCAACTTAAATACACACGAAAAAATCATCATAATCGGCCCAGCCGTTTAAGAGTACACAGTACACACGGACAGAAAAATTATTTATATGAAGATATATCTTGGATTAATGCCATTCTTTTATTTAATGGTCGTGAATCGTGATAGCGGGATTAATGTTAGTCTTAATGCATTTAAGTATATGTAATTATTTTCTACGTGGCGTGGTAGAGCTATGCTGCTGCTATATTATGGTTGTGGCACGAATGGGTCGACTCGGCTGGGTAGCACGAATTATCTTTATATTTTTAGATTCATATAAAATAAAGAAATAAAAAATAAATAAAAATGATTATATTTTTATTGCATGCCTTAAGTGCAAAGCGCGTATGTTCTACTAGCACCTAAAAATCAAGAATCCAACGCTTTGTCACATGAAATCGTATCTAGCAATCATATTGAAGATATAAATGATATAAAAAGCACATTGTCAGAAAGATAAATGATTGTTGAACTTCTTATTATTTTTTAATCGATTAATTGCTATTTTTACATTAAAAAAGTGGTTTTAGTGGCTTATGGTGTAGATTTATCGAGTCTGCATAGATTGAATTTTGTTTTGTTTAGTTATAATTAATTATTTCCAGCTGAGAAATTCCGAAATTTACGGTGTTTGAGCAGCCTTGTAATAGTATATTTTACTAAATACAGATACACTGAGTCACTCGTGAGTGGGTTACTGTATCGATTGTTTACAGCGGCTCGTGATGAAAAATACGGATCGCTGTAGAAATACAAAATATTCCAAAAACAAAATTTGATACATACTTGACCAAGGTAAGATATTTATTATTATTACTTTTATAATCACAAATTTTCATTACAAAATATTGTTTTAATAAAAGTACGTAGGATTTAAATATAAATAATAAATATACTTATACTTCTTGAACTTTATGGAGTGACCTGAAGGTGTACTTCGGTATCTGCTACTGGAACTCCTCGAAGAGTAGGTAGGTAGAACTAGGTGTGCAGAGTTTGGCTTCGTTTTGTTAGTTATGATGAGATTTTACCTCCGGACTTGATAGAGTGACCTGTAGATGTTCTTTGGTTAATGCTAAATTAAAAAAACTGTTTATGACTAGATTAAAAACTATTTGAAAATGATATAAAGTTTATGAGAAAAAAAGTTTATTAACGAGCCAGGTAAAAAAGACTAGTCTTTGCGTTAATGCCCGAGTACAAATATCTAAAAATTAAAGTAATATTAAAGTTGATTTCTGATCGTTTTGTGATAATTCTGTTAAAAAAAATTCTATTAAAAACAACAATAAAATTGTGAATCTCAATATTATTCACATAATAAAATTTAAAAAAATATTTTCTATTGTTTATTGAGAATTTTTTTCTAAAACTTTTCGCAATCATATGAGCATTATGAGCTGTGCACTTTTGGATTTGCCAAACTTATTTTTATTGACGTTGGACGTAAAATTAGAAGTAATAGTAATAAGACTATTGGTAAAAACTTGTGTTTAATTAAAATACTTTAAAAATTTGACGTATAACATGAGCGCTAAGAGGAGGATGAATCGTAGTTTTGGGGGCGTGGCTTATTCCTATGTTTCAAAATGTTAAATGCAATGGCTTCATAATACGCAAATTATGAGATAGCTTTACCGAGGACACGCTCGGGGAAAAAAAACTACAATTCACAAACAACATTTTTATTTTTATTAACAAAACTCCGTTAGGGATTAAAATGGTTTATGAGAACTTAGATATGATTATTTACTAAGCCTTAAAAATAATTCCATGAACTGAATCATAAAAATATTGTGGTGTCATGGAGAAATGTAACTAATTAGAGCCTACTTAGCAATCTTTTTCTATCGAGAAAAATTTCATGATATCGTGTTTTCCTTTTATGCAATCCAAGACCATATAGTCTAAAATCATATACCAAAAATTTAGTTTGTAATCTATAAAACTTTAAAAATATGTGATTTGGAAAAACCACCGAATTTGCGTGGCATGCACATTTGGATTTACCAAAAGTTGTTTATTTATATTATTTCGTTCTACAATCGACATCATACTGACATATCTGATAATATAGATTAAACACGTCATGTCTGTGAAATAAAGTCACACAGTACTACCACAATAGTGATGTTATTACTTTAGTAGATCGGAAGATATTTACTTTTTACTTATTCTCATATTTGGCATGGTATAAAGGGATCAAAGATGACTACTTGTCACATAGAAACAAAAACAAAAACTTTCTTAATCAATATTTATACAAGATTATAAGCAATACTTATTGAAAGTCACTTTTTTCATATATTACCACTGGTTCGCAAAAACACGTCTGTCCTGGGAAGAACCAGCAAGAAACCCAGCGGAACTATTTTTTTTTTTCAAATAATAGCTTACAATCGTGTATGTTACAATTAACAACACAAAACAAATTAGAAATAGCTTCATAACGATCACCCTTCCCAGAGGTTATTATCATCCATAAATTCCTTGATATTATAATAACGCTTTTTATACAAACTTAGTTTAACAAAGTTTTTGAACTTTATGTATGTCAAATTTGTATATTTTCTGTGATTTTGTTGTAAAAGCGTATACATCGCCCCAAGTACGAATTACTGACTCGGTGGAGTCGAGTAACTGGTACTACTAGCTTGTGTCTGTTCCTAGTATTTACAGAATGAATATCACTTAGTTTTGAAAAATTACTTTTATTTTTGTGTACGTACATTACATTTTCATAAATGTATTGACTGGCCAGAGTTAATATATTAATTTCCTTAAATTTTTGTCTGAGCGACTCTTTTGGTTTTATACCAGCGTAAAAATAGCAGCTCAACGCTGCTGTGTTTCGTATGGTGAGTGTAGAGAACCGGAGACCCTTTTTACTGGAAACGAGGCATTCCGATTTAGTCATCACGGGTGACAACGCATCTGCATTTAATTTCGTCTCGGGGTTAGATGTAGGTGTCTATGGGCCCAAGTAACCACTTACCATCAGGTGCACTATGTGCTCGTTTGTCACCCTTATCCTATAGAAAATTCTTCAGCGTGATTATTTTACAACATTATTTTTAAGTGCACTTTGTACGTACGCATATACGGTGTTAAATACGGTGTTAAATGTTACGGTATTTCTACAAAGTAAATAGTCTATTTCAGTCATAAATTTACTTTAATTATACATAGTGGTGTCTATCCTTATGATGTTGTTCTCTGAGAACAATGGAAAACACAATTCATATTATAGACAGATTGTGATTTGTAATTTAAAATATGACAATGTATGCATGAGTCCCATTCTGATTGTTAAGGCGTCATCGTTTTCGCAAGTTATGCAAAATTGCTATTCTGTTGGTGTAAATTTGATACGCAAGATATGATTCCTCAACGATTCGCAATAATATGTTCAACATAATGTCTTAACCTTTAATGCCTTTTGGCAGTTTTGTTTGAAATAAAAGGTTAAAAATTTGTTCAAAATAAAGTATAGAAGATAATGTTAAACAAAAAAAACATAATGTGTATCGTTAATCATTAAAATTCAAAAGGATTTTATATACGATATCTTAAAATAGTGCGTTATGAATGCTCTTAAACGATTCACAAGTAAGTGAATGCAACTAAATACCTATCGTCTCAATAAAAACAATTGTAAAAATTTGATTGAAACAAATATTTTGCTCAAAAGCCGACGATGGCTTCAACTTCGGTGCCGTTTATGAACCTAGATATGTGTTTAATGATTGCGTTGACTCTTTTATGACCTATGTTAAACATGGGTCACTTCCATTGTGAGAAGAATTCGAAAGTCTCTTACTGGTCTAGATATTTTACATCTGGCACGTATGAGATTATGGCTATCTATTAAGGGTAGTGAACTTTTCTGATGACCTCTTTGTCTTTTACGATATCCACAGGACAAAATTGGATGATGAATTCCCTTTTTCTAACACCACATGACTTGATTTCATTCTTTACTGATGTCGGTTACTTACAAATACTGAACATTTGTAAGTAACACGCTAAGTTTTTCTAGCGTCGAAATCTTTTTTGCTCTGTTTGCAACATAAATTAGGGGATTTTTCTGCTTCCCTTTTAAACTTTATTGCATTATTTTATTATTATCGATTGCGGAAAATTGAGGTCATGCGAGTGTCGCGACTGTTTCTGAATCAACCCGACACAAATTTAGAAGATCAAGTATTTATATTATGTTAATGCACCTATTTACAACTATAATAACAGCTATTAATAGTATTATAAAGTTGTTCAAATAATTTTTATGCAGTATTGATCATTATTTGAGTGTTTACTTTTATACAATCCTGTTATTTTCTAGTTATTTAAAAAAAATGTGTAGTGGCGGTGTAAGGGCCGATCCTCATTTTCCGTTCATAGTTTGTTCTCGTTGACAGAGGGAAATTTAAACAGGTGATGGGGAGCACCATCTTCCTGATAACAACTCAAAATAATAAAAAAACTGCGGGTGACAACCCGCTCGCTAAGCGTGGCAACTATGGCAACCCCTCCCCCCACCACATGAGGCAATCTATGGGGGAGGCTTATGTTCAACAGTGGACTTTTATAGGCTGTGATGATAATGATTATATTGGGGTATCTGTATAGTTTTCTCATCTGTTTTTCAAAAAAAAAAAAAAATGAAAAGATAAATATACATAAATGCAATAAAATAAAATAAATACTAATGATTTATTTTATTTTATTGATATTTATTATATTTATCTATTCATTCATATTATTATTATTATATATCACACTCTACTACGTGTAAAGTGATTGTGAACTCTCTTGCGTTGCTACACGACTCGAACATTATAAAATTATATTAGTGGAATTGTATCATTGCAGGTATTAGAAAAAGAACTAATGCATCAACTCAAAAATACCGAGTTTTTGGACAGTTCCTTGCACATATTTATTGATTTTTGCAACAAGAAGGAATACCAAAATTATTTGAGTAAATATGGATTTATTTAATGTTATGTATTCCTATAAAATCATTCTGCGTATCTGATTTGTAATTTTAGTCAAATTAAAAAAAATATGCTAAAAATTATTTAGCTAATCCGCGTAATAAAATATAATGATGTGTCTGATCTAGTAGTTTGAAGAGGATCTTTAATATAACGGATTTCGGCAAAGTAACGTCTGATTCAATTTATTAAAATAAAGTAATAAAAGTCTGCTCCAGTTAACGATAATAGATAACTTCTGAAGCATTTACCGACATGAGCATAAATTACTTTTGAAGACTGGAATTCCAAATAATATAAACATCCTGCTAATAGACATAAATCCTTATTAAGGGGCTAATCTATTAAAAGAAGTAATGGAGATTTGCCATCATGAAGTGGTAAGGTGCCACTTATTAATTACGTTAAGCGGGCTACATACGACACGATATCGGTGGCGATCTAGGGTGGAGTAGTGGGGATGCCTCCTAGATTGCCTCTAAATCGTGTCGTATGTAGGGCCATCCTAAGTCGTGGCCGATATCGCCTCCTTAATCGGCTGGCAGGAGCAAAAATGCTTCCTAGATCAGCCGATGCTTCCTAGATCAGGGCACCGCCTCCCCCTTACTGCGTGTGTGTAGGCGCATCGGCCCGATTTCTTTTGGCAGTCGCTGCCGGCAACCCTCGCGGAAGGAAGTTAACAAAACAGTGATACTGAATGACCTTTTTTTATATAACAAAATTTTTACATTTTAATCATATAAACGGAGTAGAAGCCTATGGCACTGATATTTTACAAAAAACCAAAAAAAAAAGTGAATAAAATAAATAAATTAATTGAAATTTTATCGAAATTCAAATCATATCCACCCTAGCCTGTGACCCTGCGAAGTGACATGGTAAGGATACCTACTAAACTAATTTTTTTATTGCCGTTCGTAAAGTAGAGTGTATATGTAAGTAAGGAGAAGATAAAGCCTCTCCTCAACAACTAACTCCTATTCCAACGCTATCAACACAAGACCGCACTCATATCTCTTACAACTCCACAAGACCACACTTCGATCTCTTACGTGCCTTCATCCTCTTATCAATAACTAACTTCTACTCCTTCACCATCTCCACATCAACAAACAAGTTATATAAAAGGGAGTATGTCCGAATTTAAAGGTTTCTTTATGTTTAAAAAAAAGATATAAGCTATTTTATTTTCTGATAGTTTTACTCCATAAATAAAGATTACATAAAAAAAAGTATACATATTATTATACAAAAGTATTTTATTTCCTTGTTTGTTGTGTGTAATACATAACCAGATTTTGACCAAAGCAAAAATGAACAAAGAGAAGAAATAACTAAATAGCATAGGTAGGAGAAATTGACGTTTTTATATAAGTGGCGAAATCATTTCTAGAAGGTTATAAAAACTGTCTTCATCCATCCGGAGAAAATTAATCACGTCCTTGGATTACAGGCCATTTAGTACGTTTATGTGGCTTAATTTTTATCTCTTTTGGAGCCATTTTTTCACCCAGCAACTTCTCTTTTTCTATTTTCGAATAAATTAACCGAGATGGCTAATGCCAAACCAACACGGTGGTGTTTTAAGAGAGTCGGACGTATTTTGAAGAACTCTACTGCATACGCATTCCGCTCCAAGTCCGAACGCGTACTGCTAGGCAGGCCCGTGTGTAAGGTCTACCCCGATAAAAGCCCCGATTTCTTTCCACCCTAGATCGCCACCGATATCGTGTCGTATGTAGCCCGCTTTAGGGTCCTGAGGCGGAGTGGGAGCGGGGTTAAAATCACTACATTTACTTATCTTGGGGGAGGGGGGTATAAAACCCATTCTTATGTCTGTAATCTAGTTCCATTTCGGATGCCAAATGGTTTTCTTTATTCTATAATGTACACTTCGGTTTACATCTTATTTCACAAATTCGATTGTTTATTAAAATTTTAAAATCTTAAATGTGTTCATTTTTATCCATTTTGAATATATAAATAATAGGTAATTATAGTACATTCACACACAATATAAAAGATGATTCTTTTGTAAATTGTTATGTTTGCTCACCTTAAGATTATTTAAAAACTTACTTTTAATAATTACTTATAATAATGATATTCCAAGGACTATACTATGTCAACTAATTGTCTCATAATAATATAATGGTAATCTATATCTGATAACGTAGACAAAAGAGTACGTAGGTATAACCAAAATTATCAGCTAAAAAATAAAAATCTTTGACTTACGGTCAAACTGAGTTTTAGTAATTAATTAGATAGTAATTGATCCTTTTCTAACAAAATTTTATTATTCTGAAAAACGAGATGGAATCTTATGTAAGAAGAGGGAGAGGGGTTCGAAAAATCTTATGTACCCTTACATGGCGGTAGGGGATGTTGAAAATTGACAAAATCATCCTTACGTAATTAATGAATGGCGCCTAAGGATTATACAATAGACGACTGAAAATCTCGTTGATTGCTAGTCGTTAATTATTCTTCTATAATATATGATTTTATTGATCTGAAATATCTTTTTAGAACCTAACGTGCCGCTATCGGCATTGGAACGTCGATCAGAGTTGGAAGTTCGCGCTCAGAAAAATGGCGATGTCCGGTTTTTTCCGACTGTAGAAGTGATTCAGCCGCCGCCTACTGCAGACCTGGTGGTTGCTTTGGCAGACTTTCTACACAATGTCAGCACCTTTAAAGGCTGCCCCGTAGAACTGTGGAACGAGCAAGGGATTTACAGAATACTGTTCAGGTAAACATTACATATCAATCGTTATTTTTGTCCCTGTTTTTTTTTTATAGAAGAGGGGCAACGAGCATACGGTTCACCTGATGTTAAGTAACTATCGCAGCCCATGAACATCCGCAACACCAGGGGAATTGCAGGTGCGTTGCCGGCCCTTTAGAAAGGAGTTATCTCCTAGTGAAATGTACAGTGGTGGACCGCCAAGCATCCAGATGGTGTCGAAGGTATCGGGAGGTTTGCCGCGTAGTGCGTTCATGAAATTTGGCGGCTGGGATTAATCCGAACAATTCCTCAGAGCACTCCCCGTGATAGATGCGATAAAATACGCAAAGACATGCAACATCTCTTCGCAGCGCCAGTGAATCAAGCCGATCGGAAAGCACTCGGTCGTCGACGATTCGAGCCGCTCTGCGCTAGATGCGGTCAAGTGGAAGGAGCTAATACTGGAGAGCCCCAGCCCAGAGATGGGAACAGTATTCCATGTGCGGCCGAACCTGCGCCTTTTTGCAGGCGGTGTGCCGGCATGAACTTCTGTACCTACTGTTCGCTTTTAAGACTACTATTTAACTCAATAACGTTGGAGCGATTTTACCTGTTTGAAAATAACACATAGGTACATAATATACTTACGCATTTTTTTTCGATACTCGTATTCCTTAAATTACGCCCTAATTCTCGAAATAGATATTAAGAATTCATTATCTGCAGCTTAAAATGTAATAGTGCCTAGCTAAAATTAATAATTAAGGATAAAGATACCATGACAATGACAGTACCTGTACATTTTGAGTTGTGTGTTCTGAGGGTTCGGAGGCAACATACACGTTATTGGTTTTCGGGTAATTTAATAACTCTCCCCGTATGTCAGACAGTTATTTGTCTCGTAAGTGTGACGAAAGATATCACCATCATTACCACTGCTGAACCAAGGTTTTCTCCCAAGGAACACAAAACACGATCTTGAACCACCTACCTCCATCGACTCCCCCGCATGTCTTACTACCTTACCAAGTCGTGACTCCATATTACTACTGGGGGTCGTCCTACACTTCCTCATACATTACTCACCTTCGATTTGCCGACGATATATTAACTATGGTAGAATCATTGCAGGACCTTCGAACTACACTCAATAACCTCATTAGCGTCTTTTTTTAATATTAAATAGACAAAACAAAGGTCATATGTAACGCCCATGTCATACTTAAGCCGATCATTGTTGGCAACACTACGCTCTAAGTTGTTGAAGAATATTTTTATTAAGAACAAATTGTTCATTTAGGTAAGTTGGGCTTACAAAACAAACAAAACATATACAGGAAGGTAAATATGAATATTACTATAATGGTGTTGTTTATGCGTACTCTTACTTCATTATTATATTTATTTTACTTCATGTTCTAATTTTAACAGAACTATAAGTACTTACTATAGCAGTGGTCAAAAGCTTAAGGAATATAGTGTCATAAAAAAAATAAGAGATCGTATTAAAAATACTACAACAGCAAACAAGCGAGCACTTGTTACTGCGATCTATTATATTTGCCGTCTATACGAGGATAAATACAATTTTAAATTTCAATAGGCCCGCGTTCTCGTGTCTTTATCCAGTGTAATTACCAACGAAAAAACTTAATGTTTTTTTTGCTTGCGAAACTTGATATTGACCCTCTTCCGTAAGACAAATATAATTTCAGTGTTAGTCGCGTGTACATTGTGCTATGGAAATAGCTAAAGTAGTAAAGTCTAGCTGTTTCAACACTGCACTGGTAACATTTCTAATGTTTTTTAAAAGCATATGCTGCAGAGTCTGCTTACTAGTTCTGAAATTGAAGATTTTTTTCCCTTTGAAGATTCGCGTCTAGTGTGTTTCCAAGAAAAATTGTGGAATCGATAAAACTCAGCTCATCCCCATTTAAAATCGAATTTGTATTTATTTGTTTGATATTTGGAGTTATGAATTTCATACAATTAGTTTTAGTGACTGTTAAATAGTGATTATCATTGTTAAGCTTATTTACTAATTCAAATATAGCGTTATTTACTTCGTCATATTTTAGTAATTGTCTTTTAAATTTGAAAATTAATGAAGTATCATAAGCAAATAATACTATTATGGTTAACCTCTATTATGTAAGGTAAGTCATTAGTAGTATATACAAGAAACAAAAACGGGCCGAGAATTGAGCCCTGAAGCACGCCCATTTGTACTATAGACCCGGACGAACTCATACCTTTAATTATATTTTTTTGCGGTTGTTACATAGATATGAAATAATTAATTAACGAGCATTACTTCTTACACCGTAGTGTTGAATCCCACTCACAGAATATACCCAAAGCATCCTGTGAATTCTCCCATGCATCGAAGATATATTTCATCAGCTCAATACCAGCATCAGTTGTCGCGCGACCCCTTGTCAAATCAAAAAATCAAAATATATTTATTTCATCAAAAAACGTATATCCATACAATATTCATTGTTAGAGCTGCCTAGTAAGCATATATATATATAACACACACACACACACAACATGTAACATAATTAACGCACATCCTGGAAGTAATTTGTTCAGAATCGTTTACTGAATCGATTCCTATCATTTTTAATATAGGTAATTTTTTATCCCAAAAATAATTAAAACTACGTAAATTACAGTCACACTAAATCTGTACAGTTAAAACATAAACATATATATATATATATATATATATATATATATATATATATATATATACTTGTGGCAGGCAGCTCCTTATCCTTCCTTCCTATCTTCCGCCCTTGCATGATGCTTATATACTATACATTGGATGTTTCGAGCTTCCTTAAATCCAGAATTTACATTTACAAAAGAAAACTATTATTATAAATCATAATTTTTAGATTAGGGAATTTGAGCTGAAAACATTTTAAATTAAGTTTTATAATATTTAAGAACCTTTTAAAACTGAATTGATTTTTTAAAATATTTTACTATATTTTAAAACTATTAATATTATGAAACAAATTTTCTACGTGGTAGAGCCTTGCTGCAGCTATATTACTGGTATACTTGTAGCACGAATGGGTCGGCTCGACCGGGGAAGGATCACGCTCCCACAGAATACCAGCATAAAATAGCAACTTAACGCTGCTGTATTTCGTACGGTAAGTGTAGAGAACAGTGGCGAAGCCTCCATACAAGCCCAGAAGCCCGGCTTGCCATATCAATCTGAATCAATCAATAATATCTAATAAAATAACTCGTAAACTGTTTCAAACTATTTCAAATTTCCCGCGCGCTCTGTGCGACCTCGTAGCCTTAGGAATACTGCTGTCATACATATAAGGAGAGTTGAATTGAGCCATTGGTTGACTCCCTCGCACACGTGGGCTTTTTACCGGGCTTTCGAGAAGGCGATCGCTCCCTTTCTAACCTGTGGCAAAATGTTCTATAATGAAACATAACTACGATTGTATAAATATCAATTAGTATGGAGATAAAAAGCCCGGCTTTTTAGTGACCATCAATTTTCTCCTCAGTGAGGGACGCCTTTAAAATTATTATAGTTTTAACACTTTTGACTGCCTTCTTGGTCTAATGGTCGTAAACGCAATTGCTGTTAATGTTGTCCCAGGCTCGAAACCTGAGTCGGGTCAAGAATCATTTATTGGGTTTTTCTGTCACAAAATTCTCAGTAGCAGTAGTATTACACTTGGGCAATGTAATCCAGATGCGCAGATGGCTATTTTCCGTTGAGAATGGCCTTGTTACCAAAATTCAATCTGAAGCCCTTTAATATAGGTTTATAAATCAAACACATAGTTGTTTGAATCTTTTAATGATCTAAAGTGAATTCTAAACATCAAATAAATACTAATTGGAAATAACTTACGTTATTTGATAATTTATTGTAGATTAATCAAAAAGGGGGACCACAAATATAAATAAAAAAAAAAAAAAAACCCCAAATTCAAGGGCTGCAAACCAGGCGATGGACACACGCCAGCAAGAAACAGGCCGGCGGCCGTAAACAAAAAAAAAATGAAAATGGAGGGAAAGAGTGTTCTTTGTGATGAAAATAAGTGTGTTAAAGTGATAATCAGCGAGGAAAAGGTAAAATCTTTAAAAATAAAATTTTAATTCAATAAACATTTCTTCACACTTTATTAGGTACAGGGCTCTTTAGTTTTAAAGTTTAATTATTCTAGACGTATTTAAAAGTTTAATAACTCAATAATTATATTACCATATGAGTTAAAAATATCATTTTGAACTGCAGCATAAAATATGAGATACCTAGGTATAAGTTTAATTTTATAGCAAATAATTGTTACAATATTTTTTTTTAATGTGAAGCCCAACTTTTAATTTAATAAATTAAATGAATACATCATGTATTGAGGTTTTTAAAAAATATTTCCTTTAGTCTTCAGTATATTAAATTTTAATAGCGCCATCTACTTAATTCTATAGGTGAAGTCATTTTATCGAACGAAAATTGATTGATTCTACGGTCATACAACCTATCTAGCGGTAGTATGCCTTCTGTGTGCTTTGTTAAACACGTCCTAGACAGCACTGAATATGAAACTAAAGAGTCAAGATTGATGTATTTTTATAAAACTGCTAAAAACAACAAAACCATATCTTGGGCTTGCCCTAGTTTGGAGCCCTAGCTTCGCCACTGAGGGAACCGAAGCCCCTTTTTACTGCAACCGAGGCATTCGATCTTAGTCAAAAGTCAAGTTCACGGGTGACAACGCATCTGCATTTTGATTCGTAATCGAGGATAGATGTAGATGCCTATGGGCCGCAGTAACCACTTACCATCAGGTGGACTGTGTGCTCGTTACCTTAATTATACTATTTTATTATACCTTGATGATACTTTTTTAGTATACAACTAATTTACTTATTTAGTTTTAGGTATATTATAAATATTATATAGTTACTCTGTGGAATAGGAATATTTTTATAGAATAAGGATGATATACCATCAGATGAACTGTTTGCTCGTTCCACACAGTTCATCTGATGGTAAGTGCATGCTGTAGCCCATAGACATTTACATTTATTCTCGATTAAGAATCAAAATACAAATGCGTTGTCACCCCTGAGAAATATGATAGAATGCCTCGTTTCCACAGCATCATTAATTTGCTATTTTTTTTACAGTGGTAGAGATACGCGGCAGCTTTGCTGTTGCACGTATGGGCCGGCTCAAACCGGGGTGGTACCACGACCTCACACTCGCTCTGCTTCCGCGTTTCGTCTGGTGAGTGCAGGTGGCCGGAGGCCCAAATCCCCCCCCCCCCCCCCATCAACATGGTAGCGGAATTAAATGATGATAGACTACCCCAGGAGGGTACCAGCACCCCTGGGGAATCCCTCGCTGAGCATCCACGATCATGTTTCTCCACTTCTGAGCGTGGGTGCTCAGGCTGCCCCGCGTATTCTGGGGGGGGGGGCAAAATTCCGCTCAAGACAACTACTCGGGGCAAACGGAGCAACAAGACCAAGGCGACCCCTGCCACGCTGTCCGTGAATTTCTGCAATATCAGGGGACTTCACTCTAACCTAAATGCCGTCCACTACCATCTCGAGACGGCGAGGCCGGCTCTGCTCTTTCTGACCGGGACGCAGGTGTCCTCTCCGGCTGATGTCTCGTATCTCTCCTACCCGGGGTACAAACTGGAACACTCCTTTGTGCCTCGGTTTGCGTTTACGTCAGAGAGGACATCTGTTCTCGACCCCTCGGCAGACTTGAAGGTTCGGACCTGTCCATCCTTTGGCTACGCGTAGACAGCGACGACCATCCGCGCATCTACGGGTGCCTCTATAGGTCCCATAGCGGTAATGCCGAAACAGACCGACTCTTCGACCACGTCCAAATGGCTACAGATTCGTTGCTACAGCAGATCCCCTCCGCAGAGATCGTGATCCTCGGCGACTTTAACGCTCATCACGCCGAATGGCTTGGTTCACGTTTAACCGATCATGTGGGGGAGATCTGTTCATGATTTTGCCTTGGCATATGGTCTGACACAACTGGTTACTTCGCCTACGCGGATTCCAGATGTGGAGGAGCATGCACCTTTCCTGTTGGAGCTTCTGCTGACCTCTCACCCGGACGGATATCAGATTTCCGTCGACGCCCCTTTAGGCTCCTCGGACCATTGTCTTGTTCGGAGTGTGGTGCCACTCACGCTGAAATCGCAGTTGCATTCTGCAAGCTGCCGCCGTGTTTGGCACTATAGGTCAGCCGATTGGGATGGGATGCGGTCTTTCTTTGCATCCTACCCTTGGGGGCGGGTTTGCTTCTCGCCGGACGATCCCAACGTTGTTGCGGATTCTCTCGCTGATGAGGTACTTCAGGGTATGGAACTTTTTATTCCTTCCTCTGTGGTGCCCATAGGAGGTAAATCTCAGCCATGGTTTGGTCGCTCCTATAAAATAGCATCATGCTATAAGCAGGAGTGCTACCAAGCCTGGGCTGACGCATCAGCGTCCCGAGATGTAAACACCAGCGCTCTAAAAAAGAAGTATAATTCCGCCTCTAGGTCCTTCAAAAGAGTCATTGCCAAGGCAAAGTCAGAGCACATAGGCAGAATTGGCGAGAAACTAGTTCGCCTTCCTTCTGGAACCCGTGAATTCTGGTCTCTCACCAAGGCTGTCCAGGGGAATTTCTGTCAGCCCTTTCTGCACAGGGAGGAGGAGGAGGAGGGAGCCCATACCGCAAAGGAGAAAGCCGATCTTCTAGGCTCTTTCTTTGTGTCCAACTCGACTCTAGATGACGGGGAGAGTACGCCGCCGACCATCCCGCGGTGTGAGTGCTCCATGCCGGAAGTGCAGTTCACACAGCCCTCGGTTCGCAAAGCACTCCTCTCCCTGGACATCCACAAGTCGAGTGGGCCTGACGGAATCCCCCCAATTGTGCTGAGGACGTGTGCTCCAGTGTTGGCACCGGTTTTAACGCGTCTTTTCCGGTACTCCTACTCCCTAGGCGTAGTCCCAAAATCATGGAAGACGGCTATCGTCCACCCGATCCCCAAAAAAGGCGACCGCTCAGACCCGTCCAACTACCGACTATCGGCCTTTCGCCATCATCTCCTTGTTCTCCAAAACAATGGAGTCCATTGTAAACTGCCAGCTCATGAGGTACCTTGAGGATCACCAGCTGATTAGTGACCGCCAATACGGTTTTCGCCGTGGTCGGTCAGCTAGTAATCTTCTGGTCTACCTAACTCACAGATGGGCGGAGGCAGTAGAGTCCAAGAGGGAGGCATTGGCTGTTAGTTTAGGCCTTCTATCGGGTTTGGCACAAAGCGCTTCTTTCGAAGCTCCCATCCTATGGGCTTCCCGAGAATTGTGCGATTTGATCACCAGCTTTCTTGCAGATCGGGGCATCAAGGTCGTTGTAGACGGTGCAAGCTCCGATTGCAAGCCTATTAATGCTGGTGTTCCACAAGGCTGCGTGCTATCGCCAACGCTGTTTCTTCTGCATATCAATGATATGTTGCAAACCCGTAACATTCATTTCTATGCAGATGACAGCACTGGTGGATGCTCTTTACACCGGCCGAGCCAATATTTCTCGGGAAAACGTCTCCGAGTGCCGGGACAAACTTGTGTCTGAAGTCAAGTCTTTGCTGAACAGAGTCTAGGATTGGGGGCGACTAAATCTAGTCCTATATATATATATATATATATATATATATATATATATATATATATATATATATATATATATATATATATATATATATAGGAAATACCCAGAAGACACAAGTTTGCGCGTTAACCGCTAAAAAGAACCCCCTTTGTCGTATCTCCTCAGTTTCAAGGCACTCCCCTTGTTACCTCGGCCAGTATCGGAATCCTCGGTGTCGAGATATCGAGTGACGTGCAGTTTCCTGGTCACTTGGAAGAGCCAGCCGCCAAATTTCGTGAACGCACTACGCGGCAAACGTCCCGATACCACCCACCCCATCTGGATGCTTGGCGGTCCACCACTGTACGTTTCAAGAAGAGTTTTCTTCCGCGTACAACCTCTCTGTGGAATAGTTTAGCGATTTTTCCGGACCGATACTACCTGGGGACCTTCAAGAAAAGAGTGTACTCTTTAGGTCACTTAACATCAGGTGAGCCGCATGCCCGTTTGCCCCCGCTTCTATAAAAAAAAATTGACGCTGGTATCCCGTGAGAGCGTGGTCCTATCCCGATCGAGCCGACCCATTCGTGTTACATCTATAATAAAGCTGCAACGTGGTTCTACCACTTCACGTTAATTGAATACAAAACACTTAACGCAGATAATTTTATGAATTTTCAACAAACTACAGATGTGCGTCTTGGAGTCGCGGAAATCCGGAGAGCGATCGCGTCCGCACCGCAACGTGCCGTGCACTCGTCGCCGCCGCGTCGCACAAGTGTGTGCGCGCTTCGCTCGCTGCTACTAAAGATTGCCTCGTCAATCTGTTGCTTACCTTTACCTCGACGGAAGAAGGTACAATTTTGCGTTATTGCATTGTTATACTTAGCTACGAACAGAATAATTATTTTCAAACAAATCATTACACAAAACACCAATGCTACAACTTTTTGCATTTGCACTTCTAATTTCCTTATAAGCTTTAAGTACAAACGAACTAAGAACCCACCGTATGGTATATGGCTACTACATTTCATCGACACCAAGGAATATTTGCTACTGTTCGGTATTCGGCATATTCGCCTACTTTTACCCTATTCGGTTGAATACCAAATATCTAGGTACTATTCGGCTTAATACCGAATACTTAAATAAGATATTTTGTTGTAGTCAGATAATTGGTAAATTAAATATACCGATTTAGTTATTTTATAATAATGTACTTTTCTTGTAATTCATGAAGTAGTCATAGATTATGTAACTTCCGTATTATAAAAAAATTACAAAAAACTATCAAGTAAATGTATGCACTTGAATTATCGTAATTAAAATTTAGAAGTGGAATATTTTAGTGCGAAAGACTAATATTTCAGGAGCTAGTTTTTCAAAGCATTGCATTTTCAGAAAGTAGTTCACGCCTTTTCCTCTCATAGACAACAAAACCAGCGATCACAGTTTCAGAGAAAAGACGATCTGAATAAACACTACTTCTTTCCCGGCCGAATACTTTTGGATAATATTCGGTTATTCGGCCAAGAAGTCCGTAGAACATTCGGTATTATAATTGATAGAATCAGGCGTTACTTTGCGGAAATCCATTATAATAAAGATGTTGATTAATTTGTAACCTTCCGCTAACTAAATACAATGATGTGTCTTACCTGGATTGAAGAGCACCTCCCGCCCTCCCTCAATTACGTGCACTAATTCCGTCACCACTAGCCCCCCAGCACCACTACTCCCAACACCACTACTCCCTTACCCCCTTCTATTTTCGCCGCTAAGCAGCGGGGCCTGCACTGCTGTTTTTTGTTCTGAAAGGTAAGGTATATTTGCTGGGTGCGAGCCATTTCATCTTGGTTTTCGGATGCGACAGCGCATCTGTAGTCTTCTCTTTTAAAGTTGGCTGCTGGCAAAGTCATAGGTCGTAGTGGTCAGGCTGACTGCTGGACCGTTTTTCACTTTAACATACTTAAAAAATATAGACCTTACCCATCGACGCTGTGTTATATGTTTCTTCGAATCGTCACTTATATAGCAAATGAACTCCTTACACTGCACTTCTTGATGCGAAGCTGTAACTCGAAAACCTTTCTTCCCCTATAAAAAATAGAGTTGATATCTAACGATTGTATATTCGGAAGTTTTTGCTGGTCAAAAGTGGCCTCGATATCTTTTCCTCGATTTGATTCAAACTGAGCTCTATCAAGACAGCAGTGAAAAGTCAGTAAAAATCATTGAAATTTGTAGGGGAACTTGTAGCTTAATAAATGCTTATTAGTTGCAAAAAACCGAATTTGTAGCGCAAACCGACTTACATCTTTAAACCGAACAACAAGTTGCAGTAAAATAACAAAATAATAATTGAGTCAAAAATAACAGCTCAAGCATGTTTTTATTTTATGTAAAACATCGTCAGGGGACATACGATGCGGCTCAATTGATGGTAAGTAATTACCGTCGCCCATGACCGACTGCAACACCAGGGGAATTGCAAGCGCAGAATAAATGACTTTCAAGTATTCTCATATATTATTGCTATATTTTACCAACATTAAATTTAACCATTTAGTCATGTGTTTCAGGTGACTGCGACGAACTAACGGCGCGTATGCAGACAATGTTGCTACTTGCTTCACTGCTGTCCGAGCGAGCGGCCAGCAATACTGTTTGGAATGAACTACGTGAAAGACAATCAACGCCGTTCTTCCGGTTGTTGACATTGTCCTTGCAGAGCGATGACGATGGTACCTGTTTTCTTTGTTGTAACTTTACACAAAATACATTAATACGAACTAAATAATGTTTGTGTAACAATGTTGCGGCTTATTTTGGTTGGTTCGAGGCCCATACATTATACTAAGATGTCGTTTTCACTACCGGGTAGTGTTGTTTAAAGGTTACTACGTAAAACATTCAATGAAGAAATTCCAATTTCTAATATAATTTTGAACTTAACTTATAATTTTGAAGTTCAAGTCAAGTTCGCGCAGAACGGCGAGCCGCACCGTGTGTAATATTACACGAACCATTTGGAGCCACTTTTGACCCCCTCATAACTCAAAAACTATTTAATAAACGTCAGGCCTATGAGATTTGCGAGATACATATGTGCTCTAAATTTCAAAAACACATCTCAAACGGTTATTTAGATATTAACGTCCAAAAATCGTTATTTTTATCACTGACTGACCTATAGATCAAAACTCTAACCCAGTTCCAGATAACCTAGAAAGTTCAAATTTGGCATGCAGATAGGTAATTAAGTGAATACAAAGGAATAAATCTAAAACTTTAAATCTTATTTTTCACTTAATTGATTCTATTAGGAACACTAAGCTTTATTAATTGTACTTATACCGGTAATAATGTATGTGTGTAAGAATCTGCAATCAAAACTTATGACAGCCGGTCTTATATATAATATAACGAGTTGAATACCACCCTTAATTTTTTTTATCCAAATTTTCCGTTTTAGTACTTATAACTAAACTAAGAGTATAGTCGACTTTCGTATTTATTACGTTATTAACTGGGATTTAGAATTAATTATTGTTTCAATATTTAGCGCACATCAATAGTGTATATTTATAAGATCATTACTTTTATTTAATTAAATAATAGGCATTTCGGTACACGGCGCGCGGTGCCGACTATGACTCATAAGCTCATAAGCGCGAACGCCGTGTTGCTGTCAGGTTGTCTCTCGATATTTGACCTATAATAAGAAAATACAGTAGTTTACCAAAACCATTTGGTATTAATTTTGTTATAAATAAGTACCTACTAATAATTTATGTACAAAAAGTAATGATATCCCATCAAAAACATAAATGTGAAATGAGAGCCAAGTTCAATATTGTGATACCTTGGTTGTTGACTTAAACGACAAAAGAAGTGAGATCTAAATGGGTGCCAAGTTCAATCCTGAAATTTATTTCCTGAAATTTATTTATAACAACATAAAATATCATTTCTTCTTATAACTTAGGATAATAACATATTGTAGCCTAAGGTCTGACTTGGCTAGTTTTCATATACGGATTATATTATAGCCTTCGCAAGTTCTAAACCTGTTACTTTTCGGTTCTTATTTAATTATTCCGAAAATTTGGCTTGCTGGTAAAAACTGGCCATCGAACATAATAATTCGTATAAGAGAACTAGCCAAGTCAGACCTTAGGCTACAATATGTTATTATCCTAAGTTATAAGAATAAATGATATTTTATGTTGTTATAAATAAATTTCAGTAAATAAATTTCAGGATTGAACTTGGCACCCATTTAGATCTCACTTCTTTTGTCGTTGAAGTCAACAACCAAGGCATATATCATAATATTGAACTTGGCTCTCATTTTACATTTATGTTTTTGATGGGATTATAAATTACAGTAATTAGCGTCGTAGATTTTCTAGTGAGCGTAAATTACTATTACTGCAGTCGGCACACCTTGAATAATAGCATAAAGTATTACGATGTTTTATTTATTCTCTTAGTCCCCTCCCTTCTTACAACTTGTACGACAAAGAATAAAAAGAATGGAAGAAGCCAAAGAGAAGGTTGTTGTAACTTCTATATACACCACATGTCAATATCTGTCTTATTTTCATCATCATTACAGCCCTTCACAAGTCCACTGCTGAACATAGAGCCTCCCCCATGGAACGCCACAAAGCACGGCCCTCAGCCACCTGCACCCATCGACTTCCTGCACGTCTTACCAGGTCGTCACTCCATCTAGAGGCGGGTCGCCCTACACTTCGCCTACCGGTACGAGGCTGCCACTCGAGAACCTTTCTTCCCCATCGGTTATCGGTTCTTCAAGCTATATGGCCGGCCCATTGCCACTCCAGCTTACTAATCCGTTGGACTCTGTCGGTCACTCTGGTTCTACTGCGGATATCCTCATTTCTAAGTTTATCACGTAGAGAAACCCCGACCATCTTCCTCTCAAATAGTCCTAACTGTACCGTTCCCTCACAAACACCCAAGTAATGAAGTCCTCATACGACCAGCAGTGAAGAACCACGTCTCAGTGGTTCTCACGTCTACCCTGTTAAGTCATCACTGGCAACACGCACCGATTGTACAGTCTCGTTTTCAGGTTTTGAGGTATAGCTGACGAGAAGATGTATCGTAATTTCCAAACAAATCTGTCTTATTATTGATTGCAAACTTAAGTAATACATAATTAATAGAATCGGGCAACAGGAAAAATCAAATTTTCATATAAAAGATTTAAAAATTAATTAGCCTAAATACGGGTAAAAATAAAATTAAAAATCTTACTTAGTTTGAACAGCACCTCCCTCCCACAATAGCAAGTCACCACTAAATCCAACACCACTACCCAGCCTAAAATACATAAGCACTAACTTTCCAGGCAGACGTTGTTCTGTACTTTTCGACGACTCTTTGTCATGTCCTATTAAAAATCCAAAATAAATTTTGGGTCACCCATCGACAAAAAAACTATCCTATCTCTCAAGTTGGACCAAACTGCACACGGTGTGCAAATTTGGTTAAAATCGGTTAAGGTATTTAGGAGTCCATCGCGGACAAACAACGTGACACGTAATTTATATATATTAAGATTAATACAGTGAAAATTAACAGCTTAATGCAGCTGTGTTTTGTATGGTGAGTAGAGAATAAATAGGCGACCCTAACTATAGGTAACGAGATATTCAATCTTAGTTATTAGGAATCACGACGTTTTGATTCTTAATCTAGGAGAGATGTAAAAGTCTACGGGCTACAGTATCCACTTACCACCAAATTAAAAACAACACTACCGCAGTAAGAAATCACCGATAGTAATACGACACGTATTTGGCCTCTAAACGGGGCATCATCAGTTCAGGTCGTAAGTATTACTTAGTGCAGTGGTGTTGTAGGTAGCGGTTTGGATTAGTGATGGCAGTGACGGCATACGCCATTGTTGTAAGAAAGTAGGTGCTCCGCAGTCTAAGTAAGACACACTTTTCTTTATATTTCAGAGCTTAAAGACGCAGCAATGCACTGTTTGACTCAGTTAACTAAATCAGCATTAAATAAGAAACACGCGGATAAAACAAGTGATGAAACGTGTAAAGTCTTCTTAAACGATCTTAAATTCGACAACCAACAAGCTAGTGCTAGATCTGGGGCGGGTGACACGGGAAGGGACGACGACTGTCAGCCGGAGTATGTTTGCGAGGAGCTATGTAAACTGTTAATATACCACTTTCAAGATCTGTTCGATAAGAAGAAGAGCCTAGCGAGTCAAGGTACTATAATAAACTCTTAATACATTTTAATTTAAGATTTTCAGTTAGGTTAAATTGTTGGCGTATTAGAGTAACAGTCCTTTTAAGTTTTCTTACCATTCGAAGCTAGTGCTTGACGACTATTCCATCTCATCATATTATATGGTAAGTGGTGATGCAGCTGAAGATGGTAATGCACACTGATAAGCTTAACAAAAGCATATTCAAACTTGTACTCGGATAGAAACCTTCTCGTCGAATGGAAAAACACATGCTGGCAAATAATAATTTATGTTGAAATTGATTCCTATAGACTTGTGTACGGAACAGCAGTACCAGTAGGAGAGTGTTGGCTCTCCTCTCCTTGTCCTGTATAATCAGTATGGGTACATATTCATGCCTATATCCTGCAGTGGACTTGACGACGCTGATGATCTTAATTAATTAAGAAAAAACATTGAATAATATTGTTATATAATCCCACCCCAACTCCCAACACTCCTTTTCCGAAGTATCTTAAAGGATTAAAATATATAAATCTTCTATGGGCCTCCTCCAAAGAAAAGTGTTCATAACATTTTAATCAAAAGTTTGCAACATCAGCTGAGTACCAAGTTTTTTTGAGTTTTTTACTGGTACTGGTATAATTGAAAGAGACTTTCATTTCAAAAATGCCGCCCTTTATACAAACTCCTTTTTTGTGTTATGTTCTCTCAAGTGTATATGTTTTTTTTTGATAATAGAAATAAAATTATTAATATAAGGGTAAAAAAATAAATAAACAGCACGCATAGATCACGAGCTGTGATGTCCATAATGAGAATCTTCAGTGAGAAAAGTGAATATGCCTGCAAACATCCCGATTATTTAGACGTCCGGAGTGGGTTAAAACTGTATTATAATATTTTTCACACACTACTTGACCAAAACCATTAGGCGCATGACAGGTATCGGGTTTCGGCGTTTAGACCACTCCTCTTTCAGGCCTCCGTCACTCGCTCTAGGCCACGCTTTATATGCCTACCGCTCTGCGTATCGTCCACGATACAACCGACATTGGGCTGGAGGAAGCAACGACATGGCACCGCGCACGAACTCGTCGAAATACCAAAACCATGTAATTATTTTGCAGTGGATGGGTGTAAAAGTAAAAAAAAAGAAACAAAAATTGTCTTTTTTTTGCGTTGACTCAAGTATTAAAATATTTATTATATAAGTGATGCAAAAAAGCATAACTGCACTAGCTTCAATGCTTTGTTACAGGAGAACTCTAATGTTGATGAAACAACACTGTGTATTCATTTCAAAGCTTATAATAAAGATTCATCTTTTTATGGTGGGCTAAAATTCCCACCAGAACCGTTTAATAATTATATTGAAGAATTAGAAAGATCATTCTCAAATAATTTTGAAAACGTCATAATGACTCGGCCTGGCAGCACCGTGTTGCAGACTTTACAAAGCATTGTTCTTCCTCTTCTTTGCTCCTGTTTTCCTCATGATTATTTATTAAAATAAAACTTCAACGATAAAATTTAATAACCGAGAATTCCGAGAAGGAAAAAAATTTATAAATCATTTTATAAAATTCAAACATATTTGATTGACCAATAAAAAATACGTGTGGCACTCGGGGACAACCGCGGTAAAGCTATTGCATAGTATTTTTATCAACTTATGCAATTATAATTATTTATTTATCCAGTATTTTTTTCTTTGTTTTTTTTTCTTTGATATTAATTCAAGTTTTTCTTTGATATTAATTCAAGTTACACGTTTTTAGCGTGGTGACCGATTATAAAACAATTTTTTTCTTTTATTGAATAAATGTTAAATAAATGTTAATTTTTTTTAATGTAAATAATTTACTTCATAAAAATCAATTTGGTTTCACAAGGGGTCGCTCGACAACTGATGCTGGTGTTGAGCTGATTAAATATATATTTAATGCATGGGAGAATTCACAGGATGCTTCGAGTGTGTTCTGTGACCTATCCAAAGCCTTCGATTGTGTTCACCATGAAACATTAATGAGGAAACTTCAACACTACGGTGTAAGAAGTGATGCTCTTCAATTAATTATTTCATATTTAAGTGACAGAACGCAAAAAGTTGTCATCAATAGTATGAGATCTTCCGGGTCGATTGTACAAATGGGCGTGCCTCAGGGCTCAATTCTCGGCCCCTTTCTGTTTCTTGTATATATTAATGACTTACTTTACATAGTAGGGGATAACCATGATATAGTATTATTTGCTGATGATACTTCATTAATTTTCAAGTTAAAACGACAGTTATTAAATTACGACGAAGTAAATAATGCTATAGCTGAGTTAGTCAATTGGTTTAATGTTAATAATGTGCATTTGAATGGAACTAAAACCAAATGTATGAAATTCGTAACTCCCTAATGTTAAACATGTCAATACTAATGTAATTTTAAATGGGGAGGAACTGAGTCTTGTTGATACCACCATTTTTCTTGGAATCACACTGAACGCAAAGCTTCAATTGCTCCCCCATATATCAAAACTAGCTAGCAGACTTAGTTCTGCAGCATATGCTGTAAAAAATATTAGATTATTATGTAACTCTTACCAGTGTTGAAACAGCTAGAATAGTTTACTATAGTTATTTCCATAGCATTATGTCGTATGGTTTTTTGCTATGGGGACACGCGACTGACACTGAAATTATATTTATTTTGCAGAAGAGGGCTATTAGAGCAATATATAATTTAAAACCAAAAGAGTCACTGAGACAAAAATTTAAGGAAATCAATGTATTAACTCTGGCCTCTCAATACATTTATGAAAATGTAATGTACGTACACAAAAATAAAAGTAGTTTTGCGAAAATAAGTGATATTCATTCTGTAAATACTAGGAGCAGACACAAGCTAGTAGTACCAGTTACTCGACTCCACCGAGTCAATAATTCATTCTTGGGGCGATGTATACGCTTTTACAACAAAATCCCAGAAAATATACACAATTTGTCATACACAAAGTTCAAAAATGTTATTAAACTAAGTTTGTATACAAAGGGTTATTATAATATTAAGGAATTTATGGGTGCTAATAACCCCTGGGAAGGGTGATCGCTACCAAGCTATTTCTAATTTGTCTTGTGTTGTTAATTGTAAACATGATTGTAAGCTATTATTGGAAAAAAATAGTCCCGCTGGGTTTCTTGCTGGTTCTTCCCAGGACAGTGGTAAATTAAAAAAGTGACTTTCAATAAGTATTGTTATAATCTACATTGAATAAAAAAGTTTTTGGTTCTGTTTCTGTTTCAAATTAGAAGTTAATATTGTTTAAAATATTTTTATTATCTTACAATACATGCAACTAGTCTACACGAATACTTCTAGTAGCACGCACACAAACAACGTGCGGAAGTCCGCCGAACTTAAACGACGTTAGACGATGTTAGGTTTTCGGGTCTTAGGTTTATTTTCGTTACGGAATTTCTTGATTCGGTCGCCGCGCTCAAAGCCCGCGATAAAAGCTATGCAATTGCTTAAAAATATTGTTAGGATGTATGTATTTCGCAACATTCGTTTTATTACAATAATCATCATAGGTACAACCCTAGCGCATTCGTGCGATGACGCGCTTGCACGTGAGTTACATGGCGGGCGACACAATCTCGACTCTTCGTGCGCGTACTTACGGTACATTTTCTTTTCGCTGCGAGCAGCAGATATTATTATTAAGATTTTGTAGGCTATTATAGCGTAGGTATTGTCGCTTTTGTATGGGAGTGATGTACCTGTTGGTAAACTATTTATTCATCTTTGCCTCTGTTCCCGCGCTTCCCCTAGTGACGTGCAGTCGTACCTTATCAATCATTCGTATACTTGCTGCCGACTGTGATAATACATCTTGTTGAGATTTTCGTTATTGCGTAGTATGTATACATATGTTAAAAATGTCGTATAGACGGAAAGGCACATGAAAAGACTTACTAAGGAAGCCATATAGTCTATGTGTGCATAACTATGCAAATATGTAAGGCAGTGTAATGCAAGAGTAAAGTATGCCGTTGAAGACTACCACGACTGTAGTATTTAAAATAAAACACTGTTTACTGTAACACCTTGCTAATACTACCGAATTTGTTATAAAACAATGTATTAGTACAATGCAGCAAACTGACGTCATATACGAGCACGCGTACCAATTACGCTAACATATAAAAATGTACGGTTTACTCGTACAATCTATCACTCAAGAAGACTGGAAAAATAATGTTATTATATTGAACGATTACGGCGGAATTATTCCAAGGCTTGGAAGAGATTGAATGCGAGAGATTTCATAAATGTGCACGATGGCAGTCATAACTCGGACTCATCAATGATTTTGAATGTCAGATTTCGGAGATATGTCGGAGTTTGAAGAGTTGGATTCCTCTAACGATTATGAATAAAATATCAATCAAAATCGCTAACTCTTCAATCTCTTCCCTTTGATTTTTTAATTTTGATTATTTAAATAAAATTAAACAATACATAACCAATGGCGAATATTATTTATCTTAGTAGAATATTTATATGGGTAGATATTAGATACTACCCACATTAATATAAAACCACAAAATAATATAATCCGTCCCGCTAATTTGGTGTTGCCATAGAGAGAGAAACCTATAGACTAAATATTAGCGTGGCCTCTAGTGAGAAAAGACGATAACGTAGTTTTAGGCTATACAATAATCTTTATGACTTTTAAACATATTTAGATAAAAATTTTAATTGCTCTAAGAACTGAAGTGAAATAGATTCACCAATCTTAAGCTCACAAAACACTTTTTTCTCACTTAAACCAACTTGTAAACTCCTTAGATCGCTACGAACTGTCAAAGTTGTTTAGCAAAGTGTAGTTTGCTAAACAAAAAAACCGGCACGGAGAAAGGGACAAACAATCACACCGCTCTGTCTCATTTCTATGCAAGACGTATGCATAAATCTATCTTTTTCGTGTGCGAATGCGAAAGAAGGCGTCAATTTGTCTATAGGTTACTCTGTCTACGGGTGTTGCCCTCCCATGTTCCAATGAGAGCTTAGCTGTCTTGCGCTTAATTGTTTTAGTTGTGTAGTACATACGTACTGGTCAAGCTAATTAGTGTTAAAATAAGAACAACTTTTTCAGATAACCTTTGGATTCGAGTTTGTTCCTGTCTCTCATCTTTACTATCGGTCAGTTCGCGTAGTCGGTTATATGGCGTTCACCGCCAGTTCCCGCTTGTTTTGTTAGCGGCGTTGCAAACCGTGCGAGACCAACTCTCCTTACAAGGGAAACCGGTCGACGTCATCAGGAATGCCAATCATGTTTGTATAAATATCTAAAATAATTTTATTTACATTATTACATATCCTATAATCATATAATTTTAATTTAAGCAGTATTTACAGTAATTTTGTTGGTAAATAATTTTTGTCGTAATAATATTTTACATTTTTAGGATCCAGCTCTGAATACTTTGTACTGGTTGCTAACAATAATAAACTGCTCAATGTTAGAGTGTAAGTCTGCTAAGGAGAGTTTTGCTGATAACATAACGGGCAGTGTCAACAGGTTGTGGCCTTGGTGCATGATGACAGAACAATTAAGAAACACTATCTTGCATTTGTTAATCGCCTTCACTAACGATTGTCCTAAAGGTGAGTTTTTTTCTTTATTTGTCTCTTGAAATACCAATAAATGGCGTCAGTTCCTTACAATAAAACTTGATGAAATATATATAGAAGCTTAAAACTGAAAATCGACGAAGTTTTAAGATCTTAAATAAAGTAACAAATTCATATTATACGATGTTACATTTAATAATAAGAGACGTCAGTTATTCAGTTTACATAGCGTACTTTTTCCTGCTCCATGACTGTTGCGCAGTCAATTACTTCCGCTTTTCCGATAGTGCGTATTGACAGAAAATTTTGGCGTATTTTTCCTTATTATGTGCATATTACTAATGTACGATATGGTTGTTTTAAAATTTGTCAGAAATAACAAGAATTTCTGGTAATTTTTATTAATCGACAAAATGGTTTACAATGGTTGCAGCGTGGGCGTGTATGTGCGCGTGCGTGGGCGGTCGCAGTCTGCTCGCAGAGCTGTGCGCGCTGGCGTGTCGCAGCGGCGCGTCGCTGCTGCCCGCGTTGCGGATATTGCGCCAGTGCGTGCCGCATCATCATTGCCGGGCTATACTTCTTAAGGTAACCTAACGTACACATTAGATAAATTTTTTCGAATGTACTTATTAGTCGTTACAGTGTGGGATGGTCGTCAAACGTCTATGAGGTAAAAAATGTATAATCCACGCGCGATCTGAATGGAACGGAAACAATTCTTAGGTATAACACTTATGAAATGTTTTATATTTGTAATTATTTTATACTTCCAAGTTCTTATATTTGAGCTATATTATGGTTGTAGCATGAATGGGTCGGCTTGAGCGGGGAAGGACCACGCTCTCACAGAATACCAGCGTAAAATAGTAGCTTTATTACTGGAAGCGAGGCATTCCATCCTAGTCCTCACGGGTGACAACGCATCTGCGTTTTGATTCTTAATTGAGGATACTTGTAAATGTAGATGTCTATGGGCCACAGCATCCACTTACTATCAGGTGGACTGTGTGCTCGTTTGTCACCTTATCCTATATAAAAAAAAGCCTAAACTTTTTTAATTTACCACTAGTTCGGAAAAAAGCGCTGGTCCTGGGAAGAACTAGCAAGATACCCAGTAGGGCTATTTTTTTTTTTAAATAACAGCTTACAATCATGTATATTTACCGATAGAACAATTTAACCATCTCGGTGACGTTATCCGTATAATATGCTACACGAAACCTCAAGTATTTCCGATCGTTAGCGATTAAGGTGTATCCTCCCTGCAGAGGCTGAGGTCCATATCTAGCAGTAGACGTTTGGGGTTTGACGAAGTAGAAGGAGTGAGCGCTAATTTGTTTTGTTTAAAATCGATTGTATGATGATAGGTGTTTATGAGCTGCAGAAAACTGTATAATTTTTTTTGTGTTGAGTGGAGCTGTTATAGGGTCAGATCCCCGTTGGTATTAATGATAGTTAATTGAAAATTTAAGTGCTGATATTTTCAATGGTAAAAGAAAAACATGAAAGGGTAGCCTCTATATATTAGAAATAAGATATTTTGAGGACATGTGAAATCCGCCAACACGCATTAAAGCAGCGCGGTTGATTAATCTCTTGGAAATTAGGGGATGTCTGTGCGCACTTGTGGGATGCAATAATGTTTTTTTATAGAAGTACTACGGTAATGGTAGGTGCATTGCCTTTATAAATAAGTTAATTCGTTTCTTGAAGTTTTCTAACCACCCCGCCGACCACCTCAAACCCCGAGCGGTCGTATGCGACCGTACCCACCCACAGCACTTTAATCCATAAAAACTTATGTTTAGAGACTACTTTTCTATGAAGAAGTTTGGCATTATAGAATCTATACGAAATTCTCTATCCTGTGGTTAAAACAAAAGTCTGTTAATCTATGGATTTTTAGACCGCTTGGGGATTTAAACGAAACGATTCCACAAAAAAGTCGTGCGAAAAAAAATTCCTAGTAAGTCGCACAGTGGTGGAGTGCCAAGTGTCCATATGGTGTCAAAGATTTTTATGTGCAGTCCGGCAATTCCGTATGAAATCAGTGTTAGATTGTCGGAAACAACGTTCGTGGTTTATAAAATGGACAACTATAATTCTAATATATTCTAAAAAAAAACTCAACTAAGTGCACATAAAGATTGACAGCATCATCAACCATGGTCCGCTCGCAATTGAATAAGAAGTTAGGAAGAATTAGCCTTAACTGCGCAAAGTATTGAGGCTGCAGAATTCGTCTACTTATAGAAGTGTTTGGACGGTGTGGATGACGTGAGTTTTCTCGCGATGTGCGATGATTTAGAGGAATTTGTTACAGAGCGAGGTGATGTCGTGCATGAACAAGGCGTGGTCGCGTGGCGGGCGTTACGTGCGGGGTGCGGAGGACGGGGGGGGGACGGAGTGGGTGCGGCTGTGCGCGGCACTGGCGCGGCACGCGGACGGCGGCGGCGTGCTGCTGGCGCTGCTGGCGGCGACACCGCGCCGCGGGCTCTCCGCGCGTCTGCTGCCCGCGCTGGCCAACGCCGCGCACCACCACCGCGCCGCCTTCCTGCAGTCTCGTAAGTCCATTTATACCTACACCGTGACCGTTACAATCTATTAAATTTCATTGCTGAACACAGGCCTTCTCCATAGATTACCTGATGGGGTGATATTTTTCATAGTTGACGCGCTTGGCAAAAGGATTGGTAACCGCAGTTTTTTATTTTTAGTCGTTATTAAGAACACGCTGCTGCCCATCTCCTGATTTGTTTCCCTCTGTCGCCTCTTACGACAGCCACGGGATGAAATGGGTTAACGGATATTCTTACACTGCTACTACACGGATACATCGTCTCTAACTGATTTTTTTATAGTGTATGAGTAACAAACAAGCACACAGTCCATCTGATAGTTAATGTATGATGTGTTCCATACACATTTACATCCTTAATTAACAATCCACGCAGATGCGTTGTCACCTCTAAGTACTAAGATGCAATGACTCGTTTCCAGTAAAAAGGGTCTCAAGTTATCTCAACTCACCATACGAAACACTAAACTGCTTTACGTTGCTATTCTGTGAGAGCGTGGTTCTACCCCGGTCTAGCCGACCCATCCATACAACAACCACAACATAGTTGTACTCGTCGTTTCCTAATGTGAGAACTGACGTGTAATTATCATCAACATTCATCATCATTGGTACCTGTAAGAATCCATGGTTGAACATAAACCTCCCCCATAGATTATATTATACTATAGTTACCACGCCTAACTAGTGGCATAGCAACCGCAATATTTTTTTATTTTTATCAGGAAGATCCCATCTTCTATTTTATTACTGTCACCTGTTACTACACCCATGGGTAAGTGCAATACCGATTTTTGGTGCTGAGATATCGCAGAACGCAGATGCCATAAAGAGGAAGGACCGCCAAGAGGCAACTCGCATTGTCCGAAAGTTCCGGAAGACCTGCCGATATGTGGCGAATCTGAAATAACAATACTATTAGAGTTTAAGTCGGTGCGAGTCGGACATATTAGCTCCTCTTTGCCTCCGAGTGGCAGAAATGTGTGTCCTATGATGATGAATAAAAAACAATTGGCCAACTAATACAAAATTCAATACTTTCCACATAGTTGTTTCTAACGACGGAGCTTAGACATAGTGTATCGAAGAAGATCTTTAAAGTCGGTTTTTACATTTCGTTAAAAGTTAAATTTTTATACTTTTTTGGCAAATTTATGGCCAAATATCTAAACTCTACTCAATTTTAAGATGTCGTTTCGTCCCGTGGGTTCACAGTAACTTTGTAAAGTGACTTTTAAAGTGCAAAAGCAACGTTTGAGTATTTGAGCATAAACAATTTAACAAGCTTAAGGTGCAACATAAAACCTCGTTCTTTCTTTACTCGTTTAAAAAAATAAACAATTAAGCTGTCTTAAAAGCCTTTACGTCGTGCGCTAAAATACCGCCTGGTGTAATAGGCTTTCTACTACTGTACTTACTGTATTCAATATTTATAACAATATACTGGTAGGTTGGCTACTATAATATTATACCAGCTAGCATTCATATTAATGAATTCTATGTCACTGGTTAATTTATTTATAAAATTTCAGCGGAGCTGTTGGAAATCCTATCAGCTACTCTGCTGACTGGCAACATTTCGGAAGTGGTGTTGGCAGCTCGAGCCGTTTGGGCCTTGGCTGCTAACAGTCATAGGGTATTTAAACATTTAATTTTCCTATTAAGCCTGCTTACTCGTTAATGCATAAATATTTTGTTACTCGCCCAATGACCATAATACGACTGCCACAAACACGAGTGCAATGTTACAAATAGAGATCCTCTTACTTAATTACATTTAGATATCATTTGGTAACGATGCTATCGTTTCCGTTTTTACAATAATATCATAAAAAGTTAAAAAAAAGTTAAAGTTACAGCTTATATACGTCGCACTGCTGGGCACAGGCCCCCCACATTTCTGAGAGGGTTTTTAGGACAAGGATGTGTCCGCCGCGCTGCCCTGCAATGATTGTTGGCGAACTTCACATGTCTTCGAAATATTATTTTTCTTATTCCTCAGACATGTAGGTTTCCTCACGATGTTTTCCTTTACCGCCGAGCATGTGGTATAAATCAGCACTTAAAATTGTGTTTAATTTTTGTATTAATAATCCGTAATTTGATGTTCAAATACTGTTAGTATTAGTAAGTTATAAATAGTACATAATATATGAACGATGCCATTTCACTCATTCACACACACAATTCTTTTAATACTTCTTATATTATTCTGCAGCCGATCTCAAAATTTTATAACGTACAAGTTGGTGATGATGATGATGATACAAGTTAATGGCTATCGGGGAACAATGTATTTTGCGTATATCATTAAATGGAAAAATAATAACTGCATAATATTTACATTTTGAATAGTTTCGAACCTAAATCTGGGGTCAAAATTCGAACAGTTAATCTGATGTATATAATTGATCGAAGCTGATACACGACTGGTCATCTCTGCTGATGATAAGAGCGGTGGATCTTTTCTCGAACAAAGGCTAAGTATAGCTATTCAGCGAGGAAACGTAGACGGCGTTCTCGACATTATACCGCGGGGAGTAAGACTGTATGATAGTTTAAGATTTTAGTTTTAGTTTATTTCTTTATTATGGTAATAAATATTGAGTACAGGGTTATTTTGCATTATGCGCTCAAATTTGCAGATAAGATTCAGATACTTGAGTAAATTCGACCACAACACATAATATATAATTAGTGTAGGAAAATAGTACGCGTCTGTTCAAATTAGCGTTTTAATCCGAGAGAGCGAGCAACATAGCAATCATGTAGGTACTTGACACTTGCGATCATGCAAGAGAGATTCTTAAAACTACTCTAAAATAAATACAGCAATAAAGGCGAATGGTGAAAAAAACTGAATTAAGGAAATCTCGAAAATCCTGCCCTTTTTATCTTTTACTTTCAGAATGCGTGGTGATGCATTATTTTAAATGGTTGTCATTCATAAATATCTAACGCCTACTATTTTCTACGCACGCACACATTGGTACGAGGGTGGATTGAAAAGTACTCGGCCTAACACAGATCCATTCAATTCTAAAAATCAAATCTACCCACATTATTTAGTTCAGTTCAGACTAGTTCATTGTGTGAAGTTCGAAACGTGTGCGATAATTAGTTGTGATTTTATAAATTTATTAACAAAGTAATCGGACATAATTTCCGCGAATGGAGCAAATCGAGCAGCGTGCCGTCATTAAGTACCTCCATAAGAAGGGGCTATCATCAAAAGCCATCCATGATGACATGGTCAGTACATTAGGCGATTGTGCTCTGTCATATTCATCTGTCAAAAAATGGATAGCAGAATTTAAGCGTGGTAGAGAGAGTGTGATAGATGAACCCCGCTCTGGAAGGCCTTCGACGTCAACTACTGACGAAAATATTAAAAAAGTACTTGATTTAATAATGGGAGACCGCAGATTAAAAATTAGAGAGATAGCCGAGATTATAGGCATCTCTTATGAACGAACTCAAAACATCATTTTCAACGAGTTGGGTTTCCACAAGGTGTCTGCGAGGTGGGTTCCGCGACTGCTTTCAGTTGAACAAAAAAGGACGCGATTGACTATTTCACGCGACTGTTTGGAGTTATTTGAAGCCGATGCAGATGATTTTTTGAATCGTTTTGTTACTATGGACGAAACATGGGTTCATTACTGTACACCGGAAACAAAACAACAATCAAAACAGTGGACTATAAGACCTGGTTCACCACCCCCTAAAAAAGGCTAAGTCGATTTTGTCGGCAAATAAGGTGATGGCTTCAGTATTCTGGGACACGAAAGGTGTGATTATGATTGATTATCTTGAAAGGGGTCAGACTGTAAACTCTGATTACTACTGCACCTTACTACGTCGTTTACGAGAGGAAATAAAAGAAAAACGTCGAGGAATGCTCAGAAGAAAAGTCCTGTTTCATCAAGATAACGCCCGTGTTCACACGTCAGTACAGTCAATGGCTGAAATTCACAACTGTGGCTTTGAACTGTTACCGCATCCGCCGTATTCACCTGATCTGGCACCATCAGACTTTTTTCTGTTCCCTAACCTAAAAAAGCACTTGAGAGGTCAAAGATTTTCGACAAACGACGAGGTCAAAGCAGCTGTAGACGCATATTTTGACTCCAAGGAAGAATCATTTTTTTTCAACGGTCTAAATGCTTGGAAGGGGAGGTGGCAAAAGTGTATTGAACTTGATGGTGATTATGTAGAAAAATAAAAATATAACTGATTTAGTATGTGTTTATTTTCTTGGTTAGGCCGAGTACTTTTCAATCCACCCTCGTAATTCGTTTAGTAAAAGTGAATCGCTCACAAATAAGTTGCCTATAAATTCAATTTACTCATTCATTTTCAAAAACTGCAATAACAGTATATCATTATTTATATATTTAAACTTAAATATAAAATTTGGATACTCTTTGAAATAGTATACAGGTTGGCCCAAAAGTCGTGGATCAAACGCAACTAGGGGTTAGGTGGGGTCATCAGCTGCAAAAAGTTGTTCTACGGGAGGTCCTTAAAGTCAACCCCCGCAGAGTTATAATTTATTTTGTGTTTTTATGAGAAAATTGACTTTTTTTAACTAATTCTTATTAAAATGCCAAAAAAATAAACATCCTCTATCTTTTTTATAATTTTCACTAGATTGGTACTGATGAGTCCTTGCGTCAGACATGCCATTTATGGTTGTTTATTGGGTGTGTTGAAGATAATGTTAAGTTTTACGATTATTATTTTTTCTCAAATCATAACTTTTTATTTACTTCGGACCCCACTGTGAAAAAAAATACTCTACCGAAAAGTGACCCTGTACTACAAGTTTTGGCGCATTTAATAGGGATTCTGAAATGGTATTACACATGGCCATGAGTGGCTCTAATATCTTTCTAGGACGAAAAAACTAAGCAACGATTGTGAAATAATTGTTTTATTAAGCAAAACATTTTACAATAAATGCTCAAAATTCCTGCCTCTGACCATAATACATAATCTGCACCGTCTAATAAAATTCCTACGTAACCTACGGAATGCACTTCTGTTGTTAGTTACTTGTACTCTAGCAAACACGAGCTATTGTCGTAGTTCTTGTTCGCTATTGTTCTCTCCTTGGTAAACTATTTCTTTAAAATAGCCCCAAAGAAAAAAATCTAATGGATTTAAATCGGGCGACCGGGGTGGCCACGCAACATGTCCGCCTCGACCAATCCACCGGTTGGGGAAGCGCTCGTTCAAATGATCTCTGACTGCTCGAGCGTAGTGAGGCGGGGCGCCATCATGTTGCAGCCACATTTCTGCTATTCTTTCTTCTGGAACTTCAGCTTCGTTAAGAATATGGTTTAAATTATTTTGCAAAAAATTTAAATACTGAGCACCATTCAGCCTTGCTGGCATTTCATGCAGCACCAACTGCTGGCCAATTATACCAGCCCACATGTTAATACCAAACAGATTCTGGAATCGATCATTTCTTATGATATGGGGGTTTACTCTGGAGTAAAAATGTAGATTGTGGATATTGAATACTCCCATTCTTCTAAAAGTTGACTCATCCGTCCATAAAACCTTGTTAAAGAACTGCGGATCTTCTCTGTGATATCTTAGCATCTCTCTACAAAACCGCACTCTAGGTTCATAGTCACCGGGCAGCAAAGCTTGCACCCTTTGCACGTGGTAGACGTGATATTTTTTTCTGTTAATGACACGTTGCACCGTCGATCTTGGAATCCCGATATTACTGGATATTTGGCGTTGACTTATACTAGGATCCAATCTTAATTCTCTTAGCACTTCATCTTCATTTTCAAATTGCATCACTGGTCTGCCTGCTCTCATAGCATGCTGACCGGGTAAGACTCCCTCCATGTACGAATTATGTACGCGCATAAAGACCCTGTAATCCGGAAAACGATCACGGTTAGGGTAGCGTTGACGATATTCCCTGGCAGCAGCCCGGGCATTACCGTCGCAAAAGCCATACAGGTAATGCATTTCTGCATACTCCCGTTGGGTGTATTCTCTCCTCGCAGCAGCCATCTGTCCACTTTTGTAGCCAATCCGTCCGATTCACACAGCACTGGTCACAGGTAGGCAATCTATCACAAGTCCGAAAAACAAAGCGTAGGTCAAAGGAAAGAAACTGGTCACAAGTCGTCGTAAAACCGAGAAAAAGAACACGTGCGTACCCACAGGCAGGAAGCAAGTTACTAAAGAACACTAAACATTCTAAAGAAACATGCTCACGCGCATCCCCCAGCCCCCGCCCCTGCCGGCCCAGCCTTTTGTTTCCTAGAAAAGATATCGCTACCTGAACTGACGGGCCAACCGGCCTTTTACTGACAAAGGATTAAATAGTTAGTGTAAAAGAGAGGCAGAGAGTCTTTGTCATTAATTGTATTAATTCTAGTTTATTTTTAAATAAGCCTAACCGAGTTTTATGGTTGGGTTAACTTTGGCCTTGCCATGAATAATCGTCCTAAAAAGATATCAAAGCCACGCATAACCATGTGTAATACCTTTTCAGAATCCCTATTAAATGCGCCAAAACTTGTAATACAGGGTCACTTTTCGGTAGAGTATTTTTTTTTCACAGTGGGGTCCGAAGTAAATAAAAAGTTATGATTTGAGAAAAATAATAATCGTAAAACTTAACATTATCTTCAACACACCCAATAA